ACTTTTCCGGGGACAGAACTGCTCCGTAAGGATTCTAATCTCCGGGCAAGCTGACAGCCACACCTTTCTCCCGTGGAAAGGCTGTGGGGTTTGAACTGCAGGCTTCCCCAGCGCCCACACCGGGGCTGATTACAAGGCTTGGTACAAACGATTAAACCAGACCCAGAGGGACTTTGAAAGGCAAGCCAGGAGAGCCGTTTTCAAAGCCTCAGCCTTACACACCCTACAGAGTGGTTTCCACTCTGGACCTGAGAGCTCCGGGTGTTGGAACCGACTCCACGACAGCAGGGTGGGATTTAGATTTGGAAACTATCATTGCTGGGCGCCCCTAGAGACCAGAGATTTACAAAGACTTCTCTGCCATCCCATGAACGCATCGGTGCTGGGTGTGGGCAAGGTCCTAACTGAAATTTTGGAATGATTCTCAGCTTCTGAGAATGCCCCATTTTGGACGGCCTGGGATCGAGTTGAAAGAAAAGAGAGATGAGGCAGAATTTTAAATCAAAAGTTATGATTTTATTTTTAATACGCCAGAAAAAAATAACTTTTTTTTTTAATGTTGTTAAGGAAACACTTAAAAATAACAATTCAAACACTGCCGTGATTTACTGGTATGGGTGGGCTTCTAGCTGAACTTAGGCTCAAGGGTCTGGAAAAGGCTAACCTCTAGGGTCTGTAAAAATCCCCCGGGGGGATTTTTCAAGGTAGCAGCAAGCAGCTTCCTTCCTGAAGTCCAAAGCGACCTGACAGGACCAGGGGGCACTAGGAGGCTCTGACTTTAGCTTCTGAATTTGCATCAACCGGGAGAAAAGACGCCAGAAAATACAATGCCCGTCGGGTTCTCCAGCCCAGATGGGCCTAAGCCTTTTGCACATGTGTCGACCTTGATCTGTCAAGGGAACCAGTGCTTCGGGGAGTTGACTACAATACGGTTTCGATTTCCATTGAGCTGATGGTGAGAATGGGCCTGCAGCCGCCGTGGCAGAACCTCCCCAAATTCACACACGGATGCGCTTCCGTTGTCCATCCCGTTAAGGCTAGGACCGCTTCTATTTCGCTTTTAAAAAAGCAGAGAGGGGAAGCTGGGAGTTTCTTTCTTTCTTTGCCCGTCTGCTGCGGGCCCTTGCTTTTCTAGAGGATCAGAGGAGGATGAGGAAACCAACTTGGTCTAACTGCCACGCAACATTCTCTGATGCTCTGCACACGTGTCTCAGAAACCTCTCCAGCTACGGAGTCTGCCGCACGGCCCACGGAGAACTGGACACTGCACCAGCTGGTAGTCACCATGGAAATGCTCTGCCCACCCCATGCTTGCTCTGCTCAACGACCAGGTACGAGCGTGTGAAGGCTCTTGGTGGACTGACAGACTGGGAGCTAACGCTGCACCCTGATTGTCCAGGTCACACAGGGTATGCATCTCAAGTTCCTGTGTGTGCACACGGGCCACATCCTGGAGAGCATCATGTATCCTGTCATGAATCTGAAGCACAAAGCAACAGATCCTGCATATTTGGAATACAGAAAGGACAGGACAACTTAAAAAGCTGAAGCCCCCGGAAGCCCCCGACCCAGAGTTAACAAAACGATCACAACTGGATAGCTAACAATGGTTGAATCAAAACACAAGGATGCCATTTTCCCTTCAAAGGTGGGCAAGTTCTGGGCTAGCGCCACCAAATTCTCACAAAATTTTGTACTTAGGATGGAAACTTTTCAGAGAAAGACGCATCATCGGAACGAGGCCGACACAGGCCAGCCCTGTATAATCAAAGCACCGAGCTCTGGGGAGCTCATCTATTGAATCTTCTCCGGTTAGCTAACAAACAGCTCGCCTGAACCAGAACCAGGCCAGTCCAGCCCGAGACTGAGTTATAATTCCCAAGTAACTCAGCAGGCTAGCCATGAGGGGAGGCATCTGGAATGTTCTACCCTGTGTCACCGACTCCGGTTGCTTTCTTTGTTCTCGGATGGGATCATCGGTAGTTTGATCACGGAGATACATTAGGCGTTTAAAGCAATCTGTGGGTTTTCCTCCGTGAAGTACTCGTAGGTTCCTCCTGTCTTCCACCCCATAGTGCTTTCTACGCTCGGTAAGTTAGCCTCAAAAGCTCACGGGGCACTTCAACCCTGTCCTATAGGGTTGCCATGAGTCCGCATTGACCCCGTGGCAATGAATCTTTCAATTAAGTTATACAAACCAAACCAAATTCACTGCCAAATTCACTGCTGATTCGTAGCGACCTCCAGTGGGCTTCTGAAAGTGTAACTGTTTATTCTGCCAAGTAGCTGCTGGAGGCCTCAAACTGCCGACCATATAGACGGCAGCCCGACGTGTGATCCTTGTCCTATTCCACCACCAGGACCCCCTCACAGGGAGCTTCTGGCTCATCCCTCAGCTCAGTGGCATCCACAATCCTGACTCACGGCGACCTGACAGGGCAGGGTCCACTGTCCTTATGGGTTTCCCAACCGCGACTCTTTACAGGAGTAAGCCCCGTCTTTCTCCTGAGGAGCAGCTGGTGGTTTTTAACTGTTAAATTTCCGGACTGCAGCCCAACGTGTAGCCACTACTCCATCCAGGCTCCTGGCTCAGGGCCAGGGCTACATGAACCAAGAGGGGTGGGCAAGGATTGGGGAAGTGAGCGGCCCTTTTTTCCTCTCAAGGTTATATATTCCTCCTCACTCTCCCCAGATACATTTTGATGTGGTTGATTCGGAAGATCGTAACAAGTTTTTGGAATAACAACTTTAGGCCATGCCTTTAAGTTGGCACTCAGGAGCTGGCTTTGGATCGGAACAATGTAGTAATTGGTCCTTTCGCCAAAGAGCCAGGTAGTAAATGCCTCGGCTCTCGGAACAGTCACTAGACCGCTTTCCATTGAAATCTCATGGCGGAGGCTCAGACCCAGGGCATAAAAGTGCATGTCCATAGAGATGGAGTTCGGCTTCATTTTTATCCAGGAAGGCGGTTTGCCCACCCTGGCAAAGGAGTGCAGTGGAACGCCTTCAGTAGGAAGATGATTTATTGCAGCACAGTGGGGGCAGCTAGGCAAACTTGCCTGCCCAAGTGTTTCTGGAATGTTCGGTGACAGCAGGATTACCTAGGTGGCAATTGATTCTCTGGCAGGTGGCAGAGCGGCACGGGCTCGCGTGCTAGCCCCCTATCTTGATGTGAGGAAGCAGTGGAGATGCTAATTTACAAACAAAACCAAAAGAACTGCAGAGACGATAACGCCCAGAAGTTGGAGTTTCAACAGGCTTTCCCTTTCTCCTCCTTCCCCGGATAACAGGAGAAAGGCCTTTAGATGCAAGTCGCCTAATTTGCAAACGATTTTAGGACACAGCCAACCTGCAAACGGTTAAAATCATTTCTCGAGGGACCCCTAGGGATGAAAGCGGTACCAAAACGGGAGTACTTTGGGGCCACCATCTGGGGTCTCTTTAAGGTCTCTGGCTCATGTCCTCATTCTAACGTACATGACCAGCTCAAATAAGTCAATTAAACCAACCAGATGATTCCCTAACAGATCCTTCCATTAGACGCTAGTCAGCTGTCATTTCGCATTTTCAAGATCCTGCTCACTTTTTGTTATCCAGTAACTTAAAAAAGAAAGAAAAGTGTATTGCACAGATTTATGTACTTATGTCTTATGCGGACTGGTTTGTCTAGCTTGTGTCTCTTCTTTTTTGGGCTGTGATCATAGTACATTCCCTCATCAATCGATTCGCACCCAGGAACCCACGTCATGTCATCACAGAGGGTCTAGAATAACTTCACACAGACGTCCCACCCAGCGCCCCCTCCAGGCCACACCCCACCAGGTCAACCAGCCATGACTTGGTCCTCATGGGCTCTTGGTTCAAGCCATTCACACAGAATGGAATAAAACTTTATTCTTTTAAAATTCCACACAGAAGCGAGATGCTGAAAAAGCCCTTGTCATCTCTGACAGAAAAGCAGAGCAGCTCTGTTTCATGAATGACAGTACAATTAAAGCTCAAATAATATAAAAATAATTTTGAAAAATCCCTTTTACTGTACACTCTCAAATAAAGCAAGAAGACAAACAAGTTTCTTTTCTTTTGTCTTGGTCGCCAGAAGATGTGTTTCTATTCACTTGGGCTTTGAAATTCAGAGCACCCCAGCTCTGTGTGCATATAGGTGTGGTGGCGAGTTTATAATCGAAGCAGTGTAGCAGCCCCTAATCTTCTCATCTAATTTGTCTAATCATTAAGCTAGTAAACCAATTAGAATACTATTCTATCACATTGAACAACTTTACATCATTGTGTCTTTGAAATACTAGGAACAATTTTTTACACATTTATTTGGCTTGCAAAGGACTGAAATATGACAGATAATATAATCTAGTTTTTTGTTCCTTTGTTCTTTTTGAAAGAATATGGCTCTTAATAAATTGAGTGAGTTCCAGAGCATTAAGTCCTTTTGAAAATTTTCTGAAGCTGACTTGAAGCAGGATGTCCTACAATTTGGTCAAAAAACATTATTTTTTTCCCATTTAAAACTATAGTAAGTCTATATAGGGGGCCCTTTGTTGTCAACTGTTGCCGCCAAACTTGCCATGAAGTGTTTGTTGAAGTATCTCCACTTGACCAGCAGAGGGCACTTTAAACACCTCTACATTGCTTGGGGGAGCAAATGCAGATGATGCAGAAACACAGTGTTCACGCATGTCAGTTAGAGCCCTGCAGATTTGTTTCTGAAATTCACAAAAATATAGAAAATATGGGCGGTACCATAGGGTTCCTTGGGAAGGTTATGCGTATGTGTGACGTCAGATGGGGGGTGGGAGTAGAAATAGTGACTGTTAGTGGGTCTCCGGCTCACCTCTGGCCCCATCCCTCCCTGTGCTCCGCTCAGGAACGGTGTCAGATACAGTAGAGAAGGCAGTACAGGGCTCATTTCAAATCATTTGGTTGAGTTCTCTTAATGGCGTTCTTATCCCGCGGCGCCCCCACCCCACCCCCGCCCCCCAGCATGTATTTACTCTTCGGTTCAAATGCCTGGCGCGAGCAAAGGTGAACACTTCGTTTCTCCTTTCCGAGTAAAAACTGCGGTGCCACGCTCGGAAATGCTCCCGGTCACAGCTGTCCCTCCGGGAGCTGGGTGGCAGTGTTTCCATCCTCCGGGGAGGAACCTTCGAAAAGTACTGTGTCCCGTTTGGTTTGTGCAAATTCACTAGCCTGAGGAGGTGCAGCGAGGGGGAAACCATCAGTCTTTCTCTCGGTGGAAATGCTGCTCACGGCCCTTTTCCGAAGAGGTGATTAACCCACCGCTGCTGATTCCGACTCATCGCACCCCACCGGAAGGGACTAGAACTCCCCCAGAGGGCTTCCCAGGCTGTTCCTCTTAGAGAAGCCCTGCCTCGTCTTTCCCCAGCGGAGCAGCTGGTGGTGCCCACCATGGGCCTGTTCCCTATCAGCCCAGTGCTGTCCCTGCTGGGCCAACCGGAGAGGTGGTTAACAGGGGGGCAAGGGCGAAGGCCTGCTGACCTTTCTGCAAAAGCTTGGCACGTCAGCAAAAGCATTGTGTTGCTCTACATACACACACCGCTGTCTTCGTTTTCCTCTTTCCGCTGGCTCTGGTTTAGTGTGGGAAAAAGAACGTGTGCTCACACCGCTATTTATTATTCTTAAAACTCCTGATCCTCCTTAAAGTATGACGCTTTCATCCTCAGAGAAATATAAGACCTTGTAAATAAAGTTGTTTGTTTTTCACCACGGTGGGTTAATAGCCTGTGTGTTTGCCGTCTGCTTCTCCCCCCTGCCGCCCCCCACCCACCTCGGGTTCCCTTTTGCATCCATGGGTCCTCACAGCTAAAGGGCTTCCAGCAGCAGTCCTTTGAGACGGAGGTGAACTCAGTGTGTCCTCACCAAATAAGGATCATAAACGTACTGGGTTACGTCACCCTAGTTATCCCTCAGCTGCCTTGGGCTGTGTGTTTGCTTGTGTGTTGTGTTTTGTGTTAGCTGCACCATGTGTGATTCCTTGTGCCATTTTCTTTTGTCTTTTTTTTTTTTTTTCTCTTGATGACCCTGAGCTACGGCTTCCTCCTCAGTTCCGACACTATTCCGCCTTCGTGGCTTTCCTCCTCTGGCCGATGTAGGCCTCAAAGAAGAAATGGCAGAAGAGCACAAAGTAGCTGAGGTACATGAGGGAGGACCAGAAGATGTTGTGAAAGTGTGAATGGCACTGGTCTTGCTGCATCCAGGAGAAGACCAGGTAGTTAACGACACAGCCCATCACCATCTGCGTGATCTGGGACAAGGTGATGAACATGGCAAACTTCCGGGAGACGCGGAAGCCCGCCGCCCGCAGGGCGTAGTAAGAGTACATCACGGCGTGCACGACATAGTTCATGGTCATGAACCAACCACCCCCGGCAACCATGTCTTTGTAGGAGTACCAAGAGTACAGGAGCACAGTGATGTGGTGGTACCAGTGCAGGAAGATCAGCTTCTGCTTCCTCAGAATAATAAATATTGTATCCCCTGAAAGACAAGGAGAGAAAGAAAACACACGTGAGGCCTGGGCCCACCACGGAAGGATCGTTTCTTTTTCTGCCAGGAGAGGAGAGACAACTTGAGGGAGGCACTTCGGGATCAGATGGTTATCATCACTGCTAGGTGTCATCTACGTTGGTTTTGACACCCAGTGGCCTTACAGGACCCAGGAGAACTAGCCCGCAGGGTTTGCTGGGCTGGAAGCTTCCTGGGCGCAGACTGCAGGTGTTCTCCTAGTGGGTTCACCGTGCCACTCGGGCTCCTTTGAAAGCCACGTGAACTCCATTTGAATCCTAGACTGGGATTTACTAGCTCTGCCACTTTGGGCAAGTTCCTGATCCACATTCATCCCGAGTTTCCTATTCTGTAAAACGAGGATAAGAAAATTAGCTCAGCGTTAATTCAGCGACGGTGAGTGGTGATGGATGGATGATACGAGTGGTGGAATGAATGTCGCTGAAACACACAGGCACAAAGGAAACAGTTTTAAAGGGAAAAAGATAGCTCAGAGTTGTTGACAGATTAAATCAGATCCTTAATATGGCCACCTGGCCCATAGTAAACACCCAATCAATGTTACCTTTAAGCAGGTATTTTATACGAAATCCCATTAATTGTAGTTGGTCTGAAGGAAAGTTAGCTACCATGTTCACTCACAGATTTTAGGAAAACAACACCCGGATGGGTCCTGGGACTCATCTCGGATCAGTTATCATCTGAAGCCAGGTGCCCAGCACATGTGTCTTGGCTCCCCAGGAGGAAACCATGGTAACCACCACTGGTCCTGATGACCGGACAAACGAATCCATCCAAACCAGACCCAGGCCACTGAATGATAGGAGTTGACAGCTCCATCCTTCTCCTGCGGAGTGGCTGGTGGGTCTGAACTCTGTCTTTGGGGGAGCAGTTCAGTAGTTATCTGACAGCTCCACCAGGCTCCCGGTCCATGACACCCCCACCCCCACCCGCCAACAAAAAAACCTCCCTTTCCATGAGTGTGTGCCGACTCATAAGTACACTGTAGGACAGGGTAGACTTGCCAGGATGGGTTTGCAAGACTGTAACTCTTTGTGGAAGTAGAAAACCTCGTCTTTCTCTGAAGGAGTGAGTGGAGGTTTGGAACAGCTGACCTTGTGGTAGGCGGCTCACCTCCTAACCAGTATGCCACCAGGGCGCCATGTGACAAACAGCCCTCAGGCACTTATATTTGTGAGTTCCCTATAAAATGTGAAGCCTTCCCTCATGGCTACCAGCAAAGTAAAATTTTCATGAAAGGCAAAAGCTGCAAATATCCCTTGGAAGTAGGAGACCCTTGGTTATGAGGTAGGACATTTCTATTAAGGGGAGCTAGATTTAAGTGCAGATAGTCTTTTTCTGTAATGCTTCCTTGAAAAGAGTCATGATTTTGGAAGCTATATGGTAGAACAGTTTTGTAAAGTTGGATGAAGAGAAAAATAAATTAGGTGCCCACCCTTAACAAGGGCAAACGCTGCAAAGAATAAATCCAAGGCCATTGACAAATAGAAAAAAAAAATTTGGATGTGGGGCAAAAACAGAATTAATGCAGGCAAATCCATGATATTCTTTCTTGTCTCTGTGATCATGAGACACGGAGAAATTTAGCAGCGTGCGTGAACCCCAATGTGACTTCTTGCACAATAACAGGGACAGGTCCCCTCCTCTTGCTCTGAGATTTACGTAGGCACAACGGGGTCCAGCGGAAACACTCAGGGAAGCCACATGCTGCGCAGACATGCCTATAACTCTTGAGCCCAAGGAAAGACTGAGAACGACCAGCCCTCAGCAGGAGCTATTCATTTGCTTACTTCTGTTATTGCTCAGTGTGGAAGGCAGCCTGGTGGCGTAGGGGCTATGCATTGGGCTGCAATCCGAAAGGTTCGCCTTTGAAACCACCAGCTGCTTTTCAGGAGAGAGACGGGGCTTTCTACTCCTGTAAACAATGAAAGGCTCAGAAACCCAAGGAGCACCTCTACCCTGTCCTATAGGGTCACTATAGGTCCAAAACGATGTAATGGCAGTGCGTTTGGAGGTCGGAGGTGCCAAGTCAGTCTGCCAGTACATGGTGACCCTGTGCACAACGGAAGAAAACACTGCCCAGTCCTGAGGCATCATCATAGTCACCCCCATGTCTGGGCTCACTGCTATACCCACCATGCCAAGCCATTCTAGTGGGTATGGAGTGGCATCTCTCTGATGGCTAAGGCAGCTCCGTGTCTTTTCATGTGCCTGGTGGCTCTTAGAATTTCCTCTGTGGTGAAATATCTATTCACGCCCCTTGTCTCTTTTATGATGGGGTTATTTGTCTTTATGTTACATTATCAAAGCCATATATGTCTATAGAGCTTGGTTTGGGATTGTTATGATTTTTGAAGCTTCCCTTCCCATTTATGGCTTGCCTTTTCACTTTTTTGGTGAAGTCTTCTGATGACAAAAAGGTTTTCATTTTCATGAAGTTCTAGTTATTGATGCTTCTCTTTTGCCCTTACTGCTTTTGCAACCATATTAGACAACCCATGATTAAAACTAGGCCTGACAACACTGTCGTTCCATCAACAAATTTTACCAGGTCCGTCCCTGATCAATTCCGATTTGTTTTTGTGTGTGTCCTGAGGCATGTGCATCCCATCGCATGTTAACACTTCTGAAAATCCAGTTTTCCCCACACACCATACTTTTAGACAAGACTCTTCATGCCCCATCTAGTGAACTTAGCCCCTTCATCAAAGATCAGCAACCCTTTTGTTAACCATCAATGTTACTTACAGACTTTTCATTGCATTGCATTGATCTATAGGCCTACTGTCATGCCAGCCCCAGGCTGTCTTGATTCCTGTCGGCTGTACTTCATGAGCAGCAGACCTGGGCTTTCTGCTCCTACACACAGTAACCGGCTCAGAAACGCTCAGGGACCATTCCACGCTCTCCGATGGGGTCGTAGGAGTCGGCATTGGCTCGGTGGCCGGGAGTTTGGTCAGAGCTTCGTTCAGTAGCATGGAGGTCTATGTTAAGTTCAGAGCTTCTAATGGCATGGTTGGGAGAAGTGTCATGAAGTCTTTAAAATAAAATGAATTTGAATCCACGTAAGAACTTTTCTTTCAGAGCACGGTATGTCGGATGGAGTAATGAAGGCGGAGGTCTCCCACTCGTGTGTGGTCCAGGAGACTCTCAGAAGTGCCACTGCAATGTCATATCGAGGTCACCATCCCAAGAAGGCAGCGGGCCCAGAGAACGATCGCCAACCTCGGGTGGGAAAACCGGACATGGCTCCAGAGGGCCTCACCACAACTCCGCCAGGTGCTTTCAGATATTTCAGCTGAGATGCGGCGTTTCTTTCTCTCCTCCCTCTGGGGCAACTACACAACATCTCAACTGACTTGTCATGAGCCAAGAGTCATGCCAACCATGCTTCTTGACAGGCTCGCCTGAAACTGCAGCCTGACTCAGCAAGGCAAACTCCCCCAGGGGCCGAGCATGTGGTGTTGGCCAACTAGAGTTTCTCCCTCTGAAGAAAGTCCAGTTGGCATGATGCAAACAATGTCGGCCAAGACTAAGCAACAGGACTTTTGACTCCTGGTGTCAGTCACCTCTTTTTACCACGACCTCTCTACCATCGGTTCAGCAACATTGAGGCAAGGCCTGGTTTTCCTTGGGCCCAAGTTGGCCCCCTGAACTCTACCTCCGCCGGTTTCTGTGCAGCTTCGGAGAAGTCTGTCAACTTTTGCAAACCCCAGGCTGCTCATGGCTGTGAAGAGAAAGAGAATGCGTACCCCGGGGGGGTGTAGCTGGTAACAGACGGCTGCGCTCCTCTGCGCAGAATGAGCAAGGGCCTCGACTCAGAGCAGATGTTTCCAAGAGTCCCCAGAACGAAATCTCAGCAACTGTGAGCGTCATCCCAGTCGTGGGCGCTCCCCGATCGTGACACACAGGGCAGGTAGGGTGGCTCTTTTCCCCTCACTTAGTCTAGTCGATTGTAACCCTGCAACCCACTCACATGAGTTCACTGTTTCTGCTGAAACAGAAAGCCCTGCGTGCATCAAGAGTTGACTGAAAACTGCAGGCCTGTGGCGTTTTGTTCTGGGACGAAGTGCAGCTTCAGGGTTGATGACGAGGAGCAATTCCCTTTTCTGATCAGCCCTTTTCTCTCTAGTATGCAGGAGGGAGACTATAAACTTACATCAGTGAACGGGTAGGCAGGACTTAGGGCCTCAAAAATAAGAAGCTTCAAGTGATCTAAATCTTCCCAAATTAAGAATGAGTGAGGAAGGTTTCTTAAGAGCGAAACATGAGAAGGCACACAACCTGCAAAACGGAAGCAAAGCCCTCCGCAAGCCCACACAGGCGTTCCCTGCCCAGGCAGGGCCACAGAGACAGTGGTCTCAGCCAGGCTGACTCTCCAATCTGTTTTGATTCTGCCTTTGGCGACTGAACCAAGAAAAAGGGCTCAGGCCACGAAAAGCTCTATACAATGGACCTGAAACGACTTGAGGAATGGATGTGTACCACTAACTCGCCTTTCTAAAGAACTATGCCAAGAGTAGGATATTGGTTTGCCCTCTCCCCCTCACCCCCAACAGTCAGTTCTTTGGATAAGTGTAAACAATAATCAGTCCCTGTTTCAAATGTGAAGAGATGGATGATTCGGTGTCCAATCTACAATTTACTGTGGTGAAAGAAGCTTCTCCAGCGAAAGTAATGCCAGTGGCACAGCTCTCTAATCGACTCTGGACTTGAGTGCACTTGAGTGGTGGACCCCCTCTGGGCTCCTGAGCAAAGACTGTGTTCAGTAACACTGTTCGTGATGGAGCAGGGAGGAGTCTAGGCAGTGACAGTGGATAAGCTAACTGGAAGCTTGGTGATTTGAGCCCAGTCAGGGGGTTTCATGACAGAAAGATCTAGTGATACGGTTCTGAAAAGATCACAACCCAGAAAACCCTATGGGATAGTCCTACTTTGTCATTTGACAGCATCTAACAAAAACAACAACAACAACAACAATTACAGACGGGCACTTGTGTGTTTAGGGTAAGCGAAGACATGGTTGATTCATTAACTTCACCAAGACCAATGAAATAATAAGGCATGGGATGACGGCACTCATATCTCTGAGTGTTGAGCTCACAGTTCTCTGGGAATCCCACCAACAACCCTGAACGATTGAGTTCAATTTGGAATTCAAGTACGAAATTCCCATTTTAGATAGACGTTTCAATGAACGCTATAGCCAAGAGATTGAAAGGACCATTTTCATTCTCAAGTCCCCTCACGCCCCCCCCCCCCACCTTGCACCCAAACACAATGGACAAGAAGCTCCTGCCTGAGCAAAGTTATTTCTAGAAAGGTTTCCTTTGAGGCTTCCAGAGTCTGGGAAAGTGTACGGAAAATGAAAAGAGAAAAATTACCAGTCGTCTCCTAACCCCGCTATCATGACAGTGTGGTCTTCCTGCCCTTGACATTTTCCCACAACCGTTTCAGTGATGCTCAAACCCCTGGTGGTACAACCGCAAGGCTGGCAGTTGGAACCCACCCAATGGCTCCATGGCAGAAAGACCTGGCAAACTCATTCCCAAAGCATCACAGCCAAGAAACCCCTATGGGCTGATCTCCATTCTCACATGAACTCACTAGGAGGCAGAACAGGCTCCACAGCACCAAGAAGCAACAATGTTTTACATTTAGTGTTGTAGCATGCCTTTTAACTCAGTCATATACTGCATTTCCTCAGATCATTAACTGCTTTGAAATCATAATATGTTTTATCTTTATTACCTTTCTGATTGCCAAAGTAACATGTACTTGCTGTAAAACATTCTGGTTTGTGTAGGGTTGGTTTTTTACTTTCTGACTGCCACCTGTATGCTGTATAGCCAGCAGCTTTATCAGAACACATTCAACTATTCTCAAGCTCTGGGAATTCAGATTGTTTCCAATTTTTCATTATTAAAGATAGCATTTTGATGCCAAAAAAAAAAAAAAAAGGGCCAGAAGTACAGAAACAACATTCTGATTATGTATTTCTGTTTGGGTCTATAAGCATTGTTGAGTCTACTCAGAGGTGAGTACCCTAAAAGCATTTAGGATAGCATATTCACATTCCTCCTTTGTAGTCAGTTCCATTTACAAACAGGTTGAGAAGGAGACTGAAGAGGATACATACAATTCAAAAACCAAAAACCCATCACCATTGGGTTAATTCTGACTCACAGCAACCCTATATAGTGTCTTCCTAAACTGTAAATAAATCTTTACAGGAGCAGGTAGTCTCAGCTTTCCCTCTCAGAGCGGCTAGTGGGCTTGAACTCTCGATCCCTGTGGTAAGCAGCCCACTCCCTAACCCACAACATCACTAGTGCTGTCTGGAGGGACCCATTGCAAGACAATAAAATCCAAACTCACCGCCATGGAGGGGATTCTGACTCAAATCAACCCTATATAGAGGGCTTCTCCTTTATAGGAACAGATAAGCTCAGTTTTCTCTGGAGGAGAAACAGGTGGGTTTGAACCACTGATCTTGTGATTAGCAGCCCAATGCATATCCATTATATGCTACTGGGGCACCTCTGGAAATACAGTAGGGTGGCATAAATGAAGTTAAGCAAGGACGGTGTGTATACATACATTACTCACTCTGCACAATTCTCACATGTTAATATTCATGGATTTATCTTAAAAAATAAGTCGCAAAGACCTGAATAAAGACTACACATTCTCAGATCAGCTCCAGATTGAGAGCAAATTCAGAAATTTTATGAATCTAATTTAAGAAACAAAATCACTGTAAAAATATATCCAGTATGATTAATTTTCAAAAGAAAGATTACTCATAAAATGAAAATTCAAAATTAAAATATTTCCCCCCCCAAAAAAAGTGTGCGTGTGTGTGTGTGTGTGTAAATTCTTAAAAAATATACCCAGAGAATTTTCCAGCATTGTCTGGAGAGTGAAGTTTGAAAATTACTTCACTAGCTTAAGTTTTTGTACCTAGAGTGTAGATTCAGGTATTTAAACAAACAAACAAACAAACAAAACAGCCTTCTGGGCCCTGGCTCACAAAATTGATATTTAAAAATTTTCCTTTTAGATAAAGTAATCCTTCCAGCCCTATTAAAAGGCAAGTGGCACAATGGATTAAGCAGAGGACCCATCTTCATGGTGACTGTCTTCTCAGAAAGTTTTCTTCTTTGTCTAGCATGGTAAGACAATAGGCAAACCCATAGTTCAAAACTGCCAACTGGCCACAGGCAGCAGATGTACAGCACCCACTGTAAAGCAGGTAAGTAGCTGAGTCACGTATCAGAGACCTCATACCCTCCATGAACTGGGGCACCTTACAAAAAGGGTGCTGAAAACCACTCCCATTGAGACACAAAGACCCCATATTGGGTTTCTGAGATGGTAAATCTTTATGGGAACAGATGATAACCCCCAAAGCAACTCACTGCCATTGAGTCGAGTCTGAATCATAGTGACCCTAATAGACAGAGGAGAACTACCCTTTTGGGGTTCTGAGGTTGTAAGTCTTTCTAGAAGCTGAGAACTTGATCTCCCCGCCCCCCCCACAGTGGCTGGATGGCTTGAATTGCTGACCTTCGGTTTAGCTGTCCAACATGTCACCCCCTGCCAACCAGCACTCCTTATCTTACTGCCAGAGAGCCCACTCTGACTGATAGGAGCCGATGGATTCGAACAGCTGACCTTATGGTTAGAAGGTCAGTGTGTAGCCTTCTATGCCACCAGTATTTCCTCCCTTACATGGCACGAAAAGCTCACCATCAAGTAGATGACGATCATAAAGACCCTAAGGACAGGACAGAACTGTCCCTTGTGAGTTTCCAAGACTGTAACTCTTTAAAAAAAAAATTAAGTTCAATTGTGGCAAAACTACGCACAAGAAAACATTCTCCAATTCAACACCTTCTATATGCTTAATTCAGTGTCATTGATTGTATTCTGGTCCAAGACTGTAAAAGTGACACCCCCCCCCCACCCCCGCTCTTTTTTTTACCTTGAGGAGCAGTTGGTGGTTTTGAACTGCTGACCCAGTGGATTGCAGCCAATCATATAGCTATTACACCACCAGGGGTCCTTTAGATTATGGGTGACTTAAAAAGAAACTGACTTCTGACCCTTTTTTATGCGATTCTTAACTGGTAACATAAAAGAAAATGCGATTAATGAGGGAACCCAGAGTGTGACAAGTTTGTGGGAGGGTGGGCCAAACTGCTCACAGATAAATGCAAAACTTATTACCATGAGCAGACAAATCCCTTTTCCTGGCAATAAAGGTATTTCTCTGGAGAACTGTACCACCACCATTTAGAGTTTTCACTGTCTCCACGCACACGTGTTATCCTTACATTCAAATTCAGCAAACAGTGGAAGGAAGATCCTTACGAGTCCCTACACATTATGGGTATTTTTTATTAATTTCGACATTGTCATTCCCCAGGGTTCGTCTCTTTGACAATCAAAATCAAACAACACCAGGGTCCAACCCTTAGCAACTGCTAATGAGAACAGGAGGAGGCCCAGATGAAAAGCTTAATGTCCTAATCGGGCCCCTAGCTCAGGAGATGAGAGCGTGTTTAGAGATGGGACTGCAAACAGCTATGTTGCTCCCTCCACCCCCTCCCCCAATTCTAATATTAGCCCAGCTGTTAATGGGCCTTAGAGAAGGAGCTGTGTATATTTTAGAAGTCAGTGGACGTATATTTTTAGTAAGGCTTACACATCTGCGTGTCCTATGTAAACTATTTGGCTTTTCATAGACACGGGGTGCCATTATTTACAAGAAGGGAGGGGTCGGAGAGGGAAGCAAACAAAGTGGAAGCCAGTCAGGAACCCCCAGGCAGCAGCACCCACGTTCTTGCAACCAGCAGAAGGGGACCTTCATGAAAAACAACAGCAAACAAGTATTGTAGGGACACGGGGAGCCACGATGGGCGAAGGGGAGAACAAGGAAGGCGAGGAGGCAGACACTCACCTAATTCAGGTGCTTTGCTTAGCACAAAGGCATAAGCCCAGAACTTGCTGACAGGTCCATTGTAAAAACTCTGGTCACAAACTGACTGCTTCAGGCCTTTGGTCATCAAAATGTACACCATATAAGCACCAGTTCGAAGAGCACCGAAAATACTTCATGATGAAAAGAGAAAAGAAACAACATTCAGGAAAATAATTTCACTTCTGACATTAACTCGACCCGTGGGTGGGAAACAGGCATGGATGAATCAGCATCATTTGCATTTACCCTGAACCATCCTCTCATCCACAAACAGGAGCTAATCCGACTTTGCCATGCTTTCTTCAGAAGACCAAACATGAACCCGCTGGCTCTTCATCGATGTCCCCAAAAGAGGGACAGAAGGCAACAGGGATCAATCCAGAGTCGCGTCTCACGATGACAATGGATAGCCTTTGGGTGTTAGCTTGGGAGCGATCCCTGGCAGGCCGAGTGCTGGTGAGATGGGGTTGCTGTACACGGTCGTCCCTACATCCAAATCACTCTGGTTCTGTCCCCTGTTGACCTCGAGTCTCGTCTCTGTTCTGTACTCTGCTGGCCACTTTAATCTAATTCTTCCTCATCTGGACTGGCTTGATCCACCCGGCATCCTGTAGTCCATCTCTCCTTGGATTCCTCTAGCACAATGGTTTTCAACCTTCCTAATGCCATGACCCTTTCATACAGTGTCTCATGTGGTGATGAACCCCGCCCCCCCAACCATAAAATTATATTCATTGCTACTTCATCACTGTTATGAATTGGGCAACCCCTGTGAAAGGGTCCTTCGATCCCCAAAGGGGTCGCGACCCCAGGTTGAGAACCGAGTCTAACACCTTCAACATCACTGTCATGGCCGATCCCTGCTCCCTTCTCTGTTGCTATCATTGCTTACACATGACCCCACGTGCGCAGAGTTGAACTGCCCCACAGGGTTCCCAGGGCTGTGAGGTTGGGCAGCAGATACGTATGCCGGTCCTCTCGGGGTAAGTTCAAACCACCCACGTTTCAGCTAGCAGCCAAGTGCTTTCATTTTTGTGTTAACGTCCCTAGGTCTCCTGAAAGCAGGTATCAGTGGTTGCCCACCCCCATGTGGGCGACAGACATGCCTCTGTTCTAGCTAGGCTTTGCAAAGCCTTGTTATGCGTAAGCTCTATGCATAAGCACAGATGAAGGGTTGCTGGAAATATGAAAAAAGGAAAAAAAGAAGAAGCAACTGCCGTGCGACCTGTTTGCCAAGAGGAGAGCTCTGTCAGTACTGGAATGTGACCCCAGGGTGAGAGGTCTTGGCTGGGGAAAGGGGCCTTGAGGACGGAAGTGACTCCCTTACGGTGTGCCTCAGACATGCAGACCACAGGCATGACCGAAAGGGAAGCCGGCTGGGTGTGCAGGGTGGTGATATTGTTGCTTTCCTCTTTTCTGCCTGCCCTGAGAGGCAGCACCCACCTTCCAGACTGGGGATAAACGAGTTGGCAAGTGTTGAGTTGAGTGGCAGCCCGACCAAGTGTGGAAATTAAAAAAACAGACCTGCTGATGTGGATTGGATTTTGGCTCCTGGTGGTCCCATGTGTTACTAAGAAGAAGTGCTTCACTGGCTCTCTGGGCTGGGACCGTGACAGAGGGACAGAGTCAGGTTTCTCGTCTGCCACACTACTGGGTAGGTTCAAACCAGCAACCGTTTCAGTCCATTGTTGACTGCAAGCCATTGGTGTATCGACCACTCAGGGGACCTTTACGTGATGCCCAGACTCAAGTCCAAACTCAGGCCGTGGAGTGGATTCCAACGCTGTGCTACCTCCATAGGGCACACCTGCCCCTGTGGGGGTTTCTAAGACTAACTCTTTAGGAAGCTTTGTCTTTCTCTTGGTGCGGCTGGGCGTTTCAGACAGCACACCTTGCAGTGAGCAGCTCAACTCCTAACCCACAATGCCACCAGGGGTCGTTTTTCACTTGAGTGAACCCTTCAGTGGCTTCCCACTGTACTTAAAGCTCCAGACCAGGGCTCACAGGCTCTTGATGGCCTGTCTCTGCTCCCTCCTTCTGGCATTCTCTCTCTGACCACACAAGCCAACCATGGTGCCTTTCAGTTTCCTGTCTCAGGGCCTTTGCACACGCTGTTTCCTCAGCATTGTCTACCCCCACCCCCCCAGAAGAAATATCTCCTTTAAGAGAATGACCTCAGCCTTTAGAGTAGAGAAATTGCCCTCTTTGGGGAGGGTGATGTGGGGAATTGAATCAGATTAGTCAAGTCATTGGGGAGGGTGATGTGGGGAATTGAATCAGATTAGTCAAGTCAAACACATGGGAGGTTTGGTCTGTCCTATCAGGATAGACTCTCTGCTTTGTCTTTTACCAAATCAGATGACAGCTAAACTTTAATATAAAAAGGTGTCTAGGTCACCAAATTAAAGCATTGCACCTTGAACAATTTATCAGCTGTTCTGGGAAGTAAAATGGACATATGGGTGTGGCCTTTCCCCTGAGTGCATGCGCAGACATTGCTGGTTTAAGAGCAAATCTCTTCCTCTCCCTCGAAAACATGGCCTCATCCCTTACACAGGAGTAAGTCTTGATGATCTAAATCAGTTTGAGTAATGCCATTTTCTTCCTGGATAGGAGGGTGGGCATGTGACCCAACTCTAGCCAATGAGATCTGAAGAGAGGGCTGCTGGGGGCCTCTTGGGAAAGGATTCTAGTCTGCAACTGTAGCAGACGTTTTGCATGCCCAAGGAACCAACCTAAAGAACAAACCAAAGCCCAAAACAAGGCAAAACAACCCCTCAAGAAGGAACCGGGCTGCTGAGTGAGCAGACCTCTGAGGGAAACTACTTCCAGACTTCCTGTTTGGGAGACCATATAGCTTCCTTATTGTATAAATCATTCTAAATGTCCCCCTTCATTGCAGCCCAGTGCATTCCAGTGGACGGAACGATGATTATCAGTCGACTTCTGAATGCTAGTTACCGTTCTGTACAGGGGCTCCCTCTGTGGCTAGGAGGGTTTCTAGTCATAGATATTACGGGTGAACCACTCACTCCACCAAGAGACCCTGGTGTCCCAGTCAGCTAAGTGTGGGGCTGCTGAACTCAGGGTCGGCAGTTCAGACTCATGAGCTGTTCCTGAGCAGTGAGTTTACTTGCTCCCTTAACGATTTACAGCCAGTAAATAAATAAAGATTTACATCCTGGCAAACTCTATATAGGGTGGTTATAAGTCAGAATCCACACAATAGCAGTCAGTTTGGTTTGGGGCACTTACTACATCAGCTATCTGCTTTTACTAGACGAGTGAAGGAGCTACTGATGGTTTCTGTACAAAATGAGAAAACACAGATGATGCATTCTCAAAGTGCATGTCTCTGCGTGTTAGACCCAGATTTGTAAAATGTGTGGATGCTTTAGAAAGCATCCTTTCCCCCACTGACTTCAGCTCAAGATACTCAGGAAGGACACAACACGAACCAGCTAGAGGGACAGCAACAATTACACAACATCCATAGGCTCACTCCGGTCGGTGGTAACAGTTCCCCCAACCTGAAAGGAAATGGTACTGGAGTTTGGGGGTGAGGGAAAGCATTTCAGAGAATTGTAGAATTGAAATGCCCACCATCACAGGGACCCACAATTTTGCTGTCAACAGTGTAGAGCACATATCATTGTCCCATATCTGGACACGAGGCTCCCTCCCCTAAGCTTGGAACAACAAGACTGACTGAGAACAAAAGACAGAGGCACTTTTCATGGAAAGCCTCTGTGCCAGCCATTGGGCCTATGTGCCTGCAGGCAATGGCGCATTGTTCGGATGTGACAATGTACAGTGGGGGGGATGCTTGGCCAATGGGATGATTGTTATTTGTGGGAAGCCATTAGCTTTGCCCCTGGCACATCTCAGCCATTGCACACTTTGGAGCCATGTGGCTTTTATTATAACCGGGCACAAAGTGCCCTTAGACTATGGCAGTTTAGCAGAAATACATTTTAAGGGAGGACCACCCTTTTTATGCTCCCCCACACACACACCTGTTCTGCTACTCCCAAGTCCTTTCTGTGCTCATGCAGACATCACTAATCAATTGTGATACTGTCCCTGGCATCAAGATTCTTCTCAGCCACTCTCGTAAGTCACTACCAATGGATGAGTCATAAAGTGAAGTATGTGTAGACAAGCTCTGACCACATCCATCCATCACTCAGTAATTTTCACAACTGGACCAGTTACTTAACCCATGTCTTTCTTCATCTGAGATGAAGACAGCCCTCATGGGAATTTGCAAATTAGTTCTATACAACTTTTAAATGATGTTAAGAAATTGAACAGTGAGCCTTATATATGTGCTCCCTACAAATTTAAAAAATAATTTTTATTTACTTTTGTTGTTATAGTGGCTTTCACTTTGCCCTTCATCTTTGAAAATCACCTTTAGCTTCAATCTCACTTTGCTATGAGAGAGGGGTTGTTAAGGCTAATGCTGTCTAATTGATAGCCAGGGAAGTGACAGACCCAGAATCCGATCCAAACTGACGAGTGTTCATGTTGTTTGATTGCTCTGGTGGTGAGGGGGTTACATGCTGTGCTGCACAATCTGCAGGGTTAGCAGTTCGAAACTACTGTCATCACTTTGAGGGAGAAAGAGAAGGCTTTCCACTTCCATAAAGAGAATCTTGCAGCCACACAGCATTCCTCTGGTTCTCTTTAATGCTCCCCACCCACCATTCTATCTCACAAATGACCCCCATTCTACCTCACAAACCCTGGTCAGAAACAGTAATAGGAATAGAGACACCATGGGGGTGGGGGGTGGGGGAGCTGATAGCAACGATGGATGTATAATTCCACCCTCCATCCCAGAGAGGGACAAACAACAAAAGTAAAGGGATACACTGGACAGTGTATATATATATATACACTTTATTAAGGGTTCATGAGGGTGGGGAATGGAGGGAAAAGTGGAGCGGATAATAAGGGCTCAAGTAAAAAGATAATGTTTTGAAAATGCCCTTGGCAACATGTTTACAAGCTTGCTTGATATAATTGATTTATGGATTGCTATAATATCTATAAACGCTCCCCATAAAATAAGTTAAAATTTTAATAAAATGTTAGAATCTTGGAAACACACAGTTCTACCTTGTCC